TCATCCATACAAAAACAAATGACATATATCATTATTAACGTAACGCGTAACCGTTGAATAATGGTTTTTTGCTGTTAAACAATAAACGCATCAGAGATTTTTATGAAAGAACTAACTCAAATCATATTGATAAATAATAAGAACCATATTAGAAATTTTTTTAGTTTAGGGACCAACTTAAAGATTCATACAATAGTTAAATGATCAAATTGAGAGTTTAACCTATATACTCTAAACAAAGAGAAAGAAAATAAAGATATTAATGGAAAACCACTTTATAAAAAAGTGATAATAAACAATTTTTATTTAGTTAATTTACTTTTTATCATATTTTATTTTATCTTTGTTTTCTCCATCTTTCTCTTTATCATTAAAAGTAATCTTCAACAATATAAATACTAAAAAATGATAAAAATGTTATGAAATAAGAAAGGATAAAATGATAAAAATAAAACATAAGGGACCAAACTAAATTTGTTTAAAAAGTTTAGGGGGGGCTTGTGCCCCCTCAGGCCGCCCTTTGGCTCCGCCGGTACATGGTCTCCCTGTTCTCCGTTGGAACCAGCCCCTAAGCCCATTGACGATCAATCACAGCCGGCCTCCTCTTCCTTTTGTTGTTTCCAGTATCCACCATGATTAATAGCTTCGCCCATTGATGGTGTGTTTTTTTGGCAAATATCTCTTCAAGCCTGCAAACTTCCATTTTCATATCTGATAAGTTTCCAAAAATCGGCAGTGGTGAAGCTGACAACTCCATTGCCGGAATATTGGGAAGAACGGATCGAGAGTCCACGCGCCTACATGCTAAATGGCTCCATTTGATATTTCTAACTAGGGATGGCAATTCTCTCCGCCACCCATGGAGTTTCACGAATATCCCCGTCACGGGGATGGGAAATTTCTTCCACCTCGTGGAGAATTTCGTCCGCCCCATGGAACCGGGAGATCCCTATAAAATAAAAATTTATATAAATTTACTTTTATATATATTTTAAATATATTAACAATTAATTTTTATTTAGTCAACCTAACTAACTTACCAATTCATTCTTTTTTCCAGTTTTTCCAAATCCAATTATACAGTCCAGTTCAGCCCATAGTCTTCTTAAACTTAATTGCCCAGGCCTAACCCAATTTGTCTTAGTAAGTAATAACCCTAGAACTAGAAGGACTACTACCCATAGATAGATTTTAGATTTGCGATTTGCGAATTTGCGATTACTCCTCCTCTCCAGACTCCAATCTCCTCTCCAGACTCCAATCTCCTCTCCTTTGCAAAGATTGCGTTGTAGCTTATTGGCTCTATTTCTATTCTTCAATTGGTGAATTCCCTTCAACCTATCATTCTCGACAACCTTTGAAAGGTAGTGCCCATAGCTTTGTTTCTATTCTTTAATCGGCTACTTGTAGCTTTCCTGAGCTTGAGTTGCCTCTAGCCTCCACTCACGACTATGCGACAGTAAGACTCCTTTGCAGCTTTGCCTCTGATTCGACCTCCTCTACAGCTCTGCCTC